CCTTGAATTTAATGCGAGCAGCTACTGGTAGCCAGTGCAAATTGATGAACAGAGGTGTGACATGTTGAAGGTGATGGTCCATCATCCAATAAGAAATGTCTGTTAGACATGCTGATATGCGAGCAGCTATCGTCTGATCATCAGAGGCTTCAACAACTGAAAGCAAGGCAGTCTCGGTCGAATGTCTACTTCTGAAGCCAGATTGGTTGCTGTCCAGGAATTTGAATTTCGAATTCAATTTTATTATATTTTCTTTTACAATTAGTCATTTTCGTGTGTTTTTATCATTTTTATTAGCTTTTTTTAATATGTCTATATAGGCTTTGTTCATTTTTATTTATTAATCTCAGTTTATTTTGTTATTTTAGTACTTTTTTTTATTTTAATTTAGTTTTATTTGGTTTTAAGTACCAACATTATATTTTTTCTTTTTAGTTTTAGTGAATAATAATAACCCTGATGTGAGTCAATCATTGAAATGGAAGTAGTTAACATTATTACATATTCATGCATAATATGATTTTTAAATCTGTTGCTCTAAGTGGGTTTTTTTTTTTTCTTTAGATTTTAATCCTGCTGCGTTGGACTCATGGTCACTGGTGTGCATTGTGAATCACAGAAGATCATATGAGGTATGTTGGGTTTTTGTGATTAAATGCAATTCATTACAGACACAGTATGTCAAGGATTTCATACTTTCTGTGGATTTCTCTAAAGAAATTTTCTGTGAACTGTAAATGTATTAATTGTACTAAGAAAACATACTGTGACTTTCAGAACGTAAAATTTCTTTCCCAGTAAAACAAGTGCTAAACAAAACTGCGTAAAAGACTCATTCTGACTGAACATACGATGAACCTAACTTGACCTTTGACCCCAAGCAAACTGTACATACCGATACAGACGACATCCATGAAGCCGTACATCCCGTAACAGATCTGGAAGAGCAGGTCTTGCCGTTGCCACTTGGCTGAAGGGCTGAGAGACGACCACACCAGCCACGAGATACTGGCGATGAGGAAGAGCGAACCCAAGATCGCCGCTGCTATCTGGACCTTCTCAATGACGGTGAGCGAAATCGCTTGCCACTTCATTAAAACACAAAAGAGACGGAGAGCAGGGGATTTCAGTGCTACTGCATTTCTCTGTTCTACTATTTAAGATTAAAAGCCAAAAGATCCACTTCCATTTTTAAATGCTAGATGTAAATAATTTAAAAATGAAATGCTACATATAAGTGATTCAAAAATTCCTTTTTTAAATGCTACATTTAAATGATTCAAATGTCCTATGATTTGAAAACAAATAATGGCTATGAACTGATTTTTTTTTTTTTTTTTGATTCTCTAAATGAATCAAGAATCAGCTGCACAGTTAGTTAGGTTTGTATTGGTCAACAACATGATTCCTGACTTACTAAACCCCAGTGCCGGTGTAGTTACAGATACACATTTGGAGTTTTATTGTTTGTAATGTTCCTTATAAATGGCACTTCAGTTAAAAAATATAGTACGACCACTATTACATACACTATTGATTTTGATTAGTGCACTACCATTCAAAAGTTTGGGGTCAGTAAATTAATTAATATCTTGATACCTTAATACCTTGAATTGATCAAAAGTGACAGTAAAGACATTTATACTGTAACAAAAGGTTTCTATTTCAAATCAATTCTACTCATCAAGGAATCCTGAAATGAAATATATTACCATTTCCACAAAAATATTACACAACACAACTATTTTCAGCATTGATAATAATCAGAAATGTTTCTTGAAAGATCCTATTAGTTCTATTTTAACAAACTTTCTATTCATCAGGGTATATTGAAAAAAAGCATCACAATTTCTACAAAATATTAAGAAATGTTTTTTGAGCAGCAAATCAGCATATTAGAATGATGCTGAAAATTCAGCTTTGATCACAGCAATAAATTATATTTTAAAATACATTCAAATGTAAAATTCTTTTTTCCGAATTGTAATAATATTTCACATTATTACTGTTTTTATTGTATTTTTTATCAAATAAATGTAGGCCTGGTGACCATAAGAGAAACACATTAAAACTTTTGAATGGTAGTATGTGCTTAGCACACATTAAAGTGATCTTCCTCAAAAGTAAAATAATTATTAATAGAATAATTAAGAATCCCAATCCACAATTAAATTCCGAATGTTGCATCTTGACATGGTTTTGAGGTGTTGTACCTGCAGCGGGTTCTTGGTGCTGATGGCGATCACCTGATACTTGTAGTAACAGAGTTCACAGGTCCACGAGCCTCTTTCACTGATCCACTTGATGAGACACGGTTGATGAGTGCTGCGAACGGAGCCACTGCAGCGACACGGGCTCAGCAGCTCAGCCTGAAACACACACACAGATACACACACAAGTTGGAGCTCATATTTGAGGAGGAAAAAGCACCTCAGATTTTTTCAGAGACATATTTTAGCAAAAATATGCAATTTGGTGCAGATGCTGATATTTATATGACCAAAAAGTGATGAAATTCTGATGTTTGTAATGTAAAAAAAATAAGATCTTTACAACAGAATAACAGACTACTTAAAATGCATATAAATATCAGTTGTCACTCTATATCTCCAATAACATGTCTTAGTAAGATGATATTTAAATGCTTAGATTGATGATCAAAACAATGCAATGCAATACAATAATGACTGAGAGATGAACAAATAAACCATCTTCAAAAGCCTGATCGTATTTGATACTCACATTTGAACATGATTTTTCCAACAAATGAAGTATAGATAATCAATAAACTTATGTTGCTTCAGTCCAGTAAGCGATCATCTTTAAATATTACTATACATTACTAACAATATCAAAATTACTTTTGCAAGTCAGTAAAGATTTCACAAAAAGCAAAAAGACACGTGAAGCATGAGCTGAAGGTGGATGATTTACAATGATACTAAAAGGCCTTTTACTTGCTGAGAAGTTAAGCATGAAGGACAGAAGGCATGGAGTAGATTGTGTGCAACAGCTTTCACAGCACAGTTTTGATCATGTTGATCATTTAGAGGCCTTAGAAATGCATGCATCAAATATGACAAAGTAGACTTTATAGGGTTAATTGTGGTGTTATTTTTTTTCTTTTGTTTGCCGTGAACGTATTTTTAAAAAGCTTTTATTCTCTACACTTTTTCCAATACCAAGCACTTATTGAATGTTTTATCTTGGTTTTTAGAAACTGCAGTTGACAGTTCGGGCGTAATGAAAAATTAAGTGTGTGAATTGACTATTTCAGAACAAATAATTTATCTTCTTCATGGACACCGTAATGAAAAATTAAGTGTGTGAATTGACTATTTCAGAACAAATCATTTATCTTCTTCATGGACACTGTATGAATTTTAAAAAGAAAAAAGAACTAAAGTCAAACATTCATTCAGAGAGGCTTTTTAAGTGCACTATATACGGTAAACTGCTGCTTTCTGGATCATCAGGAGCCCTGAGAATCACAGTAAACTAACTTTTCTTTTTTTTTCTTTTTTTAAGAAATCCCTTTCTATTCAAAGGATCCTGAAATAATGCAGTTTCCACAAAAATATGAAACAACAAGCACAACTGTTTTTAATACTGATGATGATAATAAAATTTAAAAAAAGTAATAAGAAACCAAATCTTGGCACCAAATGTTGAAGCACAAAATTAGCATATTAGAAGTATATAATTTTTAGAAATAATTTAATGTGCTTTGCATTTTTTATTTAATTCATTTTAATTGAAATTTTAATTTATTTAATATATGACATTAACATTCTCTTTTTTTACATGATTTTCTTTCATTCTTCTCCTGATTTACATTTTAATGTTATTGTTATGAAAATACTTGTATATTTGTGTATTATCATTAATCATTTTATTTATTTATTTTATTTATCTTCTGCATTTTGGGATAATGAACTGCTCGATCTTGCAGGTTTGCATTGCACAACATCAGAAATCTCGTTCACCATTCCTGGCTGGTGGAAAGATCTTCCCACCCCTATCCGGAATGCTGAATCCCTGACAATTTTCAAGTGACAGCTGAAAACTCATCTCTTTAAAAGCTACTTGACTTCATCCTAAAAAAAAAACTGTCTTTCTCTTTATTTATTCCTTCCCTTTCTAGTTTGTACTTATTTGAACAATGCCTGAAACTTGGTATTACAAGCACTTCCTGTATCTGTTCGCCTCTTTAAGAAGAATCGCTTTATGTATCCCCCAATTGTAAGTCGCTTTGGATAAAAGCGCCTGCAAAATGACTAAATGTAAATGTAATGGGAATTAATAGTTGGAAAATGGAAGTGGAATGGAATTTACAACCATAGTACTATTCAATCTCATTAGAAATGGACTGTTCTGCTCAATATTTATGTATGCTGTCTGTATGTATGCTTATTAGAATATTCTGGCGTTAGTTAAGCAGCAACACAATCCCAGCAAACCAATTTAGGCTGGCTGAATCTGGTTTTTGTCAGTAGGCAGCTCTCTGTGTTTTGGAGCAGAGCCTCTAGTGTGTGTGTAGTGGAGTATATTTCCTCCTGGACTGTGTTGTAGTGAGTGTTGTGTGTGTAGATGACAGCGTTAATGGAATGCGGATGGATGTAGATGTGTCTGTGAGGCGTAACTGAGGAGCAGACACAGGAACAGGTGCGGCGCAGTGTGAGTGCTCACCTTCGAGCAAACACTCGAGAACTAACGCTAGCGTCATGCTGAGAGACATCCACACTCGCACACGCAACGTGCCCTCTCATCTCTCTCCAGTGTATAAACCGAGTGCGAGTAAAACGTTTCAAAACTGTTTCTCATGTCAAAACCCAGAACTGACGCATTAATGCTCTGGGTGTTATTGCTCAGAGTTTGCTCATTCAAAGCTCAGGATACATAATGGAGTGATCGGTTATGTTTCATTTATCAACTTTAAAACTTAATTAGGAGAAATGCAAATCGACACAAGTTGACAAATATTTGTATTTCACGGAATTTTCAGAGAAACATCTGAGACAAAGTTGCTACTTGAATAAAACATGTCTGAGAACTCCATTGTGTCTCCTGAGCTGTAAAAGAGCAACTTCTAAGCACACAGCAAGCTTTCAATCTAATGAGAAAAGCTTGGACCTGGAAGATTTGATGAGAAATATTTGAAATCATATTGAGATCTCTGACTTTTGATTCCAGACTTTGGTATTGTGGCAAATCTGAGCATTGTTTGAGACAGTATTGGGATAACTGGGGTCTTTTTTCCACAGGAGAGACATCTGAGAAGCAGGAGACTCATTTTAGTCTCCATTAATCTCATTGCTGTCGAGGAGAAACAAATGAGATCTCATTTGTGATTATTCTTTCCTCTGTGTCTCCTAGAAAATTGTATTGCTCTTTTAGAGCTCAAGAGACTTAATGGAGTTCTCAGACAAGTTTCAATCAAGTATTAACTTTATCTCAGAAATTTCTCATAAAATGAGTAAAAATAAGAATAGACAAATGAGCCAGTAGCTCTCACCGAATGAGGAAAGCAATACTTGATGAGAAATGTTTGAGGTTATATTGAGAGAGCTCCCTGTTGAAAAATCCAGCATATACTGGTTAGGTATGTTTTGAAGCATGGCTGCTGGTTTGAGCTGGTTAAAGCAGGTCAAGTGACTTTATCTCAGAAATTTCTCATAAAATGAGTAAAAATAAGAATAGACAAATGAGCCAGTAGCTCTCACCGAATGAGGAAAGCAATACTTGATGAGAAATGTTTGAGGTTATATTGAGAGAGCTCCCTGTTGAAAAATCCAGCATATACTGGTTAGGTATGTTTTGAAGCATGGCTGCTGGTTTGAGCTGGCTAAAGCAGGTCAAGTGCTGGTCCTAAGCAACTAGCTCCTGCTCAGGACCAGCACATGACCAGCTAAGGACCAGCTTAAACCAGCCTAACCAGCATATGCTGCTTTTTTCAACAGGGCTGAATTCTGTATCATTAAAATATTAACATCATTACCCATAAAGTTGGGAAAAATAGCATATATAGCAGCTCAGATTATTTGATCTTTGGATACATTTATGAGAAATATTTGAGTTTAAATTGAAATTGCTGACTTTTGATGGCAGACTTTGTTTGAGACATTGTCGAGATCTCTGGAGGAATAACGTGAGATTTCAGTTTTTTCCTCAGGAGAAACACCTGAGAAGACCTAAAGTTCTCCATTAATCTCATTGCTGTCTGGGACAAACAATCAAAATAGTCCAGAAATCTCATCCGTGCTTCCTGAGTGGAGCTCTCAGTAAAAGCCGCCTCGAGCTCAACTTAACGCAAGTATTATATAAGCACGACCCCGATGCTCCTTCAGCCAAGAGGAGTGCTACCTCCGTCACAGCATCGAGAGGATATAGAATGGGAGTGTTGGTACAGACACAGGCCTGTCTGCAGATGGACTTAGTGGGAGCGAGTTGGCCGGTCAGTATGAGGAGAGCAGGAACAGCCAATGGGAGGAGGGCGGCACAGGAGGAGACGGGGAGCACGTCCAAACCTGCAGTCTAATCCACCTCCGTGTTCTCAGGGCACGAATCAGACGGCCATTACAACTGTGACAATCTGTTTCACTTACTCCACCGAGAGCCACACGGCGGATAAAGAGTTTAATGCCGTTCATTTCACTCCTGTTCAAAGTAGTGGCAACCAAACGTTCAGTAAATGCATGTAATGTGAACAGAAGCGATCTGAATTCGTTGTTAATGAATTCTACACTCTTTTTTGGACAGTGTCAGCTATTCTGTCCCTCGTGTTGCACTCCAGTCATTTTCTTTTTTTTCCCAAAAATTCAAGTTATTCTTATCACATTGGACTAAGACCTACTGACTTTACTCACACAGGATATAGCAATTCCAAAAAAAAAGAAAAAAAGTTGATTATTCTTGTACTTTTCTGATATTTTTCCTCTTGTTGCACTTATGGTGTTCCCAGTCAAATATGACAAGCCAACAAAAATTGCTTATAAATTTCTAATTATGCTATATTATTACCAAATATTGGATTCAATCTTTTCGTCAACTTGTTTTTTTTTTTCAGTTAGCACAGGTTTTGTATTTGTTTTTGGACCTGATTGATTGCAGGCCTCATTGATCTGAGCTTATGCTGCTCAGTTTCCGAGTGAAAATTGCCAAAATTATCCACAAATAATGTTTTTTTTTATTTCACTCAGATCAATCAGGCCTATGATCAATCAGTTACAAAAAAAAACCTGTGCAAATTGAAAGAAAACAAGATTGAATCCAAGATTTGGTGATAACACAGCATAATGAGAGAAAATGTAATGTATATCCAACTTTATAGAGCTATGCAATACAATAGTTTACATGTTGTCAAAATATA